CCCAATGTCTTGAGTCACGAAATAAACTGCTCTTGATTACAGCTTTTTTGGAGAGATTTGTCGAATCTCGTTGTAACTGCCCCAGGTTGAATGAATTCTGAATAGATCTCTTGGCGTGATAGCCTCTGATTGATTGAGCTTGAAGATATTTATCGACGTGATAGCCTCTGATTAACAGCTTTGAGGGAATGCCTCAGATTTGGCTGAGTTTAGAGAGATCGATTCTCGACTTGATTGCCCCAGATTGGCAGTTTAAAGGGAATGCCCCAGATTGATGGAATCTGCTAGCTTTATTCTTGAAGGGTACTCAAGCTGTGAAGTACCAAGATGATTTCTCTTGACAGAATCACCGGTTAACATGCTGCTGGATTAGTCATTTCTCTTGTAGCAGCTGACTCTTGCTTCAACAGGGTATTCAAGCCTTTTTTTTCTGACAAGATTGAGCTCTTTACCGATTGTTCATTGTGCAAACTTACTGGATGTTGATCAGTTGTTTTGTATGCAGAAGAGTGTTTATTATGAGAATGATAATTCTAATGCAACACATACGCAAGTTTTGAAGTTTGAAAAACTTTGAATGAAATGACGTTACAACTCTGTTGTGAACGAGTCACTAGCCAGAGAGAAACATTTGCAAATTTTTTATTTATGAAAGATAATGCAAGCATATGATGCCAAAACAGACATTGGAACGTACCTCTTAGGAGTCAGTTAAACGCTATCTCGTTGTAGCACGCTTTTGAATTGACACATGCTTCAATTAGGACTTTTATGGGTTGTAACGTGGCCTGGTTCACGGTTTTTAGAAAAAAGGATTTAAGGCTCAAAATTATTTGGTGCCCACCCATTCTCCATGATGTTCTCCATTCCTACGTTCAGTTGACCCGATACAAGCGTTCATCTCTCGAGAAGAGTTTGCAATAATTGAGGAACCACAGTGGTTTCTTGGACACGACAGTCACTAACTTCTGATTTTGGTGTCTGATCAGACGACCTTGTTCTTTGATGAGGATTTTCGTTGGTAATCCTTTTCTCGCTTTTTAGGATTTTCAATTTATTTCTTGCTTTCCCTAATTTTTGCCTGGACAAATTCTTTTGAATCTTGATTTGGAAGTCCAGCGGGATGCCCCAATTTTTTTCCTAAGCGACTTGTTTTCAAGTTTCGACTTGGCGGGGATATTTGTTTCTTTCTTATTCGTATTTTTTTTCTTCTGAACAAGTCGTTGATATTTGCGTTGTTTTTGATTTGTCGGAAGTGATCGTGACTGCCTGAGTCTTTAGTATCGTCATTTGTTGACCTCCTGATGTGCGAGAGATACCCATTGGGATATAGTCAATAGACGCACATTGTTGTTAGATGAGGGTTAACCATTGTGGTTTTGACTTTTCTCAATCTTTTGATGGATAACCATTGTTGTATCCTTGGATGCACACTCTTGATGAGTTCTGAATGCTTGATCAGATTAGCTGAACACTACCCTCCCCAAGGTTGAAATGAGGGTTTTTTCTGAACAGAATGGAAACTCCTACTTCGAAGGCTCAGAGGGGTTGACGAGGGTCTATCTCCCTTATATCTCCGGTGTTTGGGGATTGAAATAAGGCCTGTACATAGTCAGTAGGGTCCTACTCAAAAGCATACCAACCAGAGATTTTGCGTTTTCAGATTGTCGTCATCCTCCTTTGAATCTTTACCTAAGCATAAGACTAGGAAATCTGGCATCAATATGCAAGTAAAACATTTGAAGAGTGATAACAAATGGATGAGTAAAAATGAAATGATCACTTCAAGACAAGCATATTTATTGCATTAAGATTTTCGTTCAAAAATAGACAAGTTTCTATATACAAGCGATGTTTAAACAAACAAGCAAGAATGCAAATGAAAATGCAGTCAAAGAAACCAATGATTGCCATTGTTGAGGAGACTTGACTCCGTATGGACTTGCTGATTATGACGACTTTCTGTAGTCTTGAAGCTCGAGTGTGCGAGAGAATTCCCTTTCAGATCTGATGTGAGCATGACAGTCTCTGAATTGATCCAGTTTTAGACTTGTCTCTGGATGACATACCATCTTCAATCGATTGGCCAGGTGCCCCAGTATAATATGCATCACCAAGCACATCACATCTTAAAGAAATAATAGACATCATTATCAGAGCTTCCATGAACTGGCTTATCTGACTCTTTAATCCACTATCTTCCTGCTTGAAGAAGTTTCTGACTATGAGCCAAAGCTTGCATGTACCACTCAGAATTATTCCATCAACGATCTTTGAGCATGTGTGGAGAGAAATCAAGTTGAACCTTTGAAGAGAACCCCAGGTCTGAATAAGAATCTCCAATCTCCGGATACCTGTAATGAATGCATGAATATACATGGAGTGTATGAATGAATGCCATGTCATGTTTTGTCATTTCCGAGGAATTTGCGTGCTTTGATTTTGTTTTTGCGCAAGTAAGGGATGGAAGAATTTAGCACAAGGCGTGCGAATATGATTCCTTGAAAATAACAGAACATGTATGTTAAGCATGCAGTTAGCCATGTTATGTATTCAAAGGCATGAGATCAAAGAGGATCATGGTTCCATCATTCCTGAATAAGGTTGCTGCACTGCTCTGGATCATGTGAGTATCATCAGATCAGAGGTCCGACATAACTTCTCCATATATGAGCACCAAGTACCCTGTGGATCTCCCATTGTACGGGATCAAGGCTTTTGGAACATTGGATACTGTTGAGAATTTCTGAACATGCTGGGAATACCAAGATTGAAGGCTTGAATGAACCTCCAGGTAAACAAGTCAGGAACTCAGAAAATAAATCTGAGAACTGCACGGTCACCAACAGGATATAGCATCTGCATTAAGTCGGAACAGAAATCCAGAATATAGCCATTAGAACAAATATCCACTGTCTGAGCATAGTCACCATTTGCACATAGTCACCACCTGTACCTGTAAGAGAAATTCCCTCCCCACTCACGGGTGAAAACTAGGTCAGGGTAAGATAATGGTAACTCGAAAATCACGGGTTCGCCTGAAAGTGCTATGGGCTTGCCCACAGACGTGGGTGCCGATAGTAATTCATTTGAACCTCATCCGAGCGTGGTATATGACATGACTGCACTAATCGGATCATGTCCTATAGCCGTCATGCCCCCACTCTATTCCTAGGTGTCCTAGTGCACTCTGGCCTGGGTACTGGGCCTTTTACCTCGATAGTAGCATCCCCACCCAACATAGAGAACAGAGTCCAGCATAGTAGATAACAAATATGGAAGGCCATAAAATGCAATGCAAACATGTACAAATGAGTAAACTGAAAGCATAAAAATAAACACCCTAAGGAAAGAAAACAAGAGCTAGGAGCGACTCCGGGATGGACCAGCATTTGGTCGACCTATTCCCCAGTGAATTCGCCAGCTGAAACAATCGGATGAAAATCATCAAACAATGAAGTCGCCATCGAACGTCTTTTATCCCACTTGTAGGGAAAGGTAAATATCGAGAAAACCTGAGAAGGGAGAAGTCACGGTCTTGCGACCGAGAGAACGGGTAAGGGAGTCTGTTACGCGAGGGGAAGGTATTAGCACCCCACACGCCCGTAGTACTCTACGGTATCCACTCTTGTTATCTATCTTATGGGTGTGTTTAATCTATGCTTACTGTTTACTATTGCTAAAAGAAAATGCATGCAAAAGAAAAGAGAAAAGAATGTAAGGAAAATAAAATTGTGCTCGCTTGGGCCCTACCCCAATGCCTACGTATCCGTTTTAAGGAATCAGAGGTACCATAGTTCGACTCACATTTTTTTGTTTGTTTGTGTTTTTTATGGACGAAGTTAATCCCGCCTTCTGCCGCAGCTCGACCTTTGGAGACTTATGCGTTGGCACAAAAGTAAATTAATCGTGTCCTTACCTGAAAAGGTTTTTTTGATTTATATTTTGTTGTAGATGTTTTTTTGTGGACGAAGTTAATTCCGCCTTCTGCCGCAGCTCGACCTTTGGAGACTTATGCGTTGGCACAAAAGTAAATTAATCGTGTCCTTACCTGAAAAGGGTTTTTTAATGAAATGGTGCTCGAGCGCACAAAAGATTTGATTTTGTTCTGTATTTTTGTTGTAAATGACGACTGATTGACCTCAAGAGAGAGATATTAGCCATTTTTCTACTTAGCCGTGAAAGGAGTTTTTTGAGAATTGAACCACACCTATGCTTGAGATGAAGAACAATAAGATCGAGAAGAGACCCGCTTATCATTTCTCGTACTAAGCAAAAGCATGATTCTCATCAATAGTTTTAAAGTATTTTGAATTTTGAAAGAAAAAGAAGTTTTTGTTTTAGATGCGTATGTGAAAGGAGAAAGAAAAGTTAAAGGGGATCAGCCTATTTCTAAACCTAATGTTATTGTGCGTGGTTAGACCTAAAGTTAGAATGAATGAGGGAATTCTACCTAATGCCAGCACGCATATGGTTTGCGATAAAGTACCGAAATAAAGAATAAAATAGAGTTGCGACAAAACCGAACGGAGAAGGTCCGTTGCCTCTTCAAAATTGTGCAAGCGGTAAGAAAATTCTATCAAAGTTCCCTTGGGCAAGTGATTAAAGAATTCACCCCGAACATTCCACATTGCAAGAGTTATGTCGATGCTACAAAAATCTTGACTAGAAAATGGCAATAAAAATGATTATCGAATATGAGAAATAAAATAGAAGAAAATTCTAATCGAAATTCTAAAGAGAAATTCTATTATAAAATATTCTATTATTTTTATTGTCAATGGAGAGGAAAAAAAATTAAACTAAAAGAGAAAAATTAAAATAATAAAAGGAAAAATTAGAGGAGTTAGGGGGTATGAAGTCTAGAAATGTGGGTGTTGAAGTAATTTGCCCAAAAAGATTTTTAACATTTTATTTATTATTTACTTAGTTATTATTGTTATTAATTTGAAATAAAAAACATAAAATAATAAAACAGTTAAAACTAAAAAGAAAAAAGTATGAAAATTGGAAAGGGAATAGGGTTTTTAGAAAGAAAGTCTCTTCTTCTCGAACGGAACGGCGGCGGCGCCGGTCTCTCACCATCTTCACCGCCGTTTGCTTCTTCTTCTTTCTCCGTCGCGGCTTCTCTTCTTCTCCGATCCACCTATACTCGAACACCACCGTCGAAGCTTTTACGTCTGTTCTGCTCCAAATTTCGCTGCCATGACTCTCAACCTCTCATCGAATTCGTCGAGTCACCGTGCCGCCACAAACACACGCCTTACATCATTATCTCACTGATTCTAACCGGGACCTCCGTCATCCTTCAATTTCGCTCATACTCGCGATAAAAAACAGTGACTTAGGAAAAGATAATAGAAAACCAGAGGTGGGGTAATGTAATTTCTCTCTCTTTTCTTTTGTCTTCTTCTTTGTATTCTGTGATTTCTTCCGTGCGTTGGTGTATTGGTGCAGGGACGTTGTTGCGTGTGTTGCGTTGCATTGTTATTGAACGAAATAGAGAGTTGTTGCTCTTGCAGTTTTGAAGCAGAACGGGAATGATGATGACAGATACGATGCGGTTGCAGTGTTATGCGATGAAGAATCTTGATGAAGATGTGATGATGATGCGAAGGTTAAAGGTTGTTACAAAAAGCCTAAAGATGATTGAATGTGGAGTATGATGATGCTATGTTGAGAATGCAGATTTGTTGAGGATATGAAAGAATTGAAATGCCTTGGAGTGGTCTCTCTACAAATGCAGAGAAGTAGTGAGACGAGCAGAGAGTTTTTCTGTGGTTTTGTAATTCTCCCCCAGATTGTGAAGAATCAATGATGAAGCAGAGAGAATATTGTAAAGAGATCTTCACAATTTTTCTGGTGAGGTTTATTTTGTTGAAGCTCTTTTCCTGATTGTGATTTTTTTGATAAATAATCATGAATGAATCTGAATCCCCCCTCCCTCCTTTTTCTATTTGTGATCCCTCGTTATATATATGTTGTGAGCTCTCCTCTATATGCTGGAAGTTTTGTTATTTATATATAGGAGGTTAGAAATTCTGTTAGGTGGTTAGGAGGTGGAAAAAAAAGTTGGTTATAGTTAGAAGTTAGGAAAAAGTTAGTTATGAAGCTGTTAGTTTGTTGTTTTCTGTTGCAGGTCAGTTGTATTCTGCTTGAAGTTTGTTGAGTTAGTTATGGGTGGTTGTTGTGCTGTTAGTTTGAGAAGGTAACAGTGTGCTTTCAGTGATATAATCAACTTTAATAACTTCTTTTCCATCATTATTTGTCTGTCCAGGATTGTCTACAGGATAAGTATCCTTGATGGAAACACTGTTACCCTTGGAAAGAAGATCTGGCACATCCTTTGGAGAGGTACTGGTGATTAAAACAGAAGAGGACTGGCCTGATTCTGGATAAAATGATTCCTGAATGGTAGAGTTACCAGTTCCATCTGCAGAACTATCCTTCAATACGCAGAAATTATCTTCTATTTGCAATATGCCATTCTTCAATTCACTCCCTGGATCCAACAAGGCAGGCTGACATAGTGAATCAACTATGGGTGAATTCCTCAGGTTGTTATGAAAATCAGGTGAGGGTGATGATTTTACATGTGAATCATCAGTGATTTCTTTAACAACAGTGGCTCTTATCTTTTCTTCGCAGGAACTGTCACAATCCACACCATCTTTTTGATTGTACAGCTTATCACTTGTGCTTTCTAGTTTTGTGTCTATAAGTAAAGCACCTGACGACACTTCTTCCACGTCCAACGAAGAAGATATCTGCCAGCAATTGGCTTCCATACCATTTTCATTTTCATTTTCATTTTCAATTGGCTTCCACGTCCAACGAAGAATCATCAGGTTTTTGTTGCTATTTTCAGGTTCATAGCGGTTTGGATAAATGTCGTCAAAGAATCCAATGGATAAGCACAAGCCATCAGCATCAGATGAAACAAGTTTTCCAGTAATAATCTCCCCTTATCCAAGAAAAGCCTCTCAAGCTCCGTGTGTATGGCTTCTCTAATGGGAAGAGCGAGAAGAGAAGGAGGCAAGGTCAATTTATGCTCAATCTTACTGAGATAAAACACTGACGCTATACCCTGTTAGGAAGTGCTATCCGGAAGAAACAGCTCTTTATGGAATTGACGTTGAAAATTAGGATAGGTTTTGGTAAAGATGTATAGATGTTATGTATAATTGTAATGGAATTTGGACTTGTATGTATTTGAATAATTGTAATGTGTGTTGACTTTATTTCCACATAATGAAATGGCCTTTGTATGAATTCAAATAAATGGTATGAATCCAAAATATTTGCAAGATACCCAAAAGAGACATGAATCTTGAATGAATCCAAGAGAGTCTATTTGGAAAATATTTTGATGGTTGGATGAATTTGATGCATGCTTTTTCATACTTGTGGTTTGAATTCCAAGAAAGGCCACGCAAATATTTAAGAACTTTGATTAAATCCACCTCAAATATTCCAAATCCACTTCAAATATTGATGAATGAATTCTAATCAAACCACACCTTCAGTGAACCCCTAATTCAATTCAATTTTCCGATCTAAACCAAAATTGCGTGTCAAGCAATAAGCATTTGAAGCAATGACACCTTGATCCTAATCAACATCTTGTACCATGTCCCGACTATATGAGCACTAGAACAACGGCGTCTTGGACTCCTTCTCAATAGATGATAACGACTATGCCCTGAGGGATTCTTTGCAGATGAATATGAAATATGAGACATGCGAATACCTTGATATGGAATGAACCTCAGGTAGAATGCTGGCAAGCTCAAATATGAAAATGTATAAACCCTGATTTTTTGCTTCGTCTCATAAAACCTTGCAACTTGATATTGAGAAGAAAAGAATAGCCTCGTAGCTTGATGATGATCAGGTCCATGAAATGAAAACCTAGCTTCAAACAAATTATTAATGGAGAAATCAACCGAAACAGGCTTGTGCGAAGATGGGAGCCTTAGAGCCATACACCAAGCCTTATTCCTCGAAATCCATGATCTCATGCCAATTTATTGAAATGATGCATGATGTGTTAGATGACCTAATGTGAGAAAAATGCAAAAATGCGTAAGCCAGATAGGAAGTAAAAGGGTAGGACAAATTTGGGGTATTACACATGGAAATCCAACAAGTGCCCGAGTTGGATTTTGGAGACTTGGGTCTATCTTCTGGTGTGGTGATCCTACACAAGTTCAAAGCACCATCTTTCGCAAAGTATGACGGGGCGTCCTGCCCTAAGCTACATCTCAGATCTTATGTGCGGAAGATCCAGCTGTATACTGTGGACAAGAACTTATGGATCCACTTCTTCCAGGAGAGTCTTTCAGGGACTCATCTCGAATGGTTCTATCAGCTGGATGGAACCAAGGTTCGTATCTGGGAGGACTTGGCTACTGCTTTTTACAAGCAGTATCAATATAATGCCGACCTCGCTCCTACACGTACACAACTCCAGGGTATGTCGCTAGGATCGGGAGAAGCTTTTAAAGAGTATGCGCGGAAATGGAGGGACCTGGCTGGCAGGGTGCAACCACCATTAACCGACCGTGAACTTGTGGACATGTTCTTAGGGACCCTATCCGGGCCGTTCTTCAATCATCTCATTGGCAATTCGTCTGCAGGGTTTACAGATCTCATTCTGACTGGGGAAAGGATAGAAGCTGGTATGAAATCAGGGAAGATACAGAAAGGTGCGTCCTCAAGTTCTGAGAAGAAGCCTTTCAAAAAAGAAGACAGTGCTGTGTATGGCCCCAGGAGGCAAAACAAACCAGAACACCGCCAAGCTGTCAACGCGGTGGTGATTGCAAAGCCTGCTGCCACTCCTCGGCAACCTAACCAACCAAGGGGTGAGAGACCCAGAAGAGAATATACTCGGCTTAGTATGACCTTGTCGCAGATCTTATCGACCAACTTGGTAACCGTCAGAGAAGCTCCGAAGGTGGTAAACACAACCTCTCCGAAGTACAATCCAAACGCCCGCTGTGCTTATCACTCTGATAGCCCGGGGCATTCTACTGATGATTGTTGGGCCCTGAGAAATAAGGTCCAGGACCTTATCGATGCGAAGGAAATACAGTTCGAGGCGCCAGAAAGGCCCAACGTTGTGACTGCTCCTATGCCCCAGCATGGAGTAAATGCTATTGAGGAAGACCTGTATGCAGTTTCTGTGGATGATGTTGCTACCCCTTTATTGACTGTCAAAAGGAACCTGTTGCTAGCCGGTTTATTTCCGGGTTGTAGCAAGGGTTGCCTTCTGTGTGCCGTTTCCCCTACTGGTTGTCCGTTGCTGAAATCAGGCATCCAAAGCCTGATGGATAGAAAAGAGATCTTATTCAAGAAGACCGTTGTTCCTATTGTTCCTACCGAAGAAGTATATGTTGTCACCATCTTCAACAATCCTACCATGGCTCCCCCGAGGAAGCCAGTCAAAATCATGTCTGTTGCACCCATCATTATTACTGTTCTGGGGCCTCTCCCCTATAAATTTGACAAGGCTGTCCCATGGCACTACGGGGCAGATGTGTATGTGCTTGGAGTAAAGCAGGAGTTCAACACCAGTACCGGTATCAGTAACATCACCGGTCCCGCTAAAGTTAATTGCAGTGGCAGGCTCTTCTCGCCTGACATTGCGCCACCAGTTATCCGAAGACCTCTTATCATAACGCCTACAAGTGCGCCTGTTTCCCCCTCCTGATCAAGTTTCTACCCCTGCTTCCGAGTCATCTGACACTCGAGGCAAAGGGATTGATGATGTGCCTGCCCGAATGGAGGCACCAAAGACTGTTAATGTTGAAGCGTCACAGCAAGAGATGGAGGAAATCCTTAAGATCATCAAGAAGAGCGATTTCAACATCGTTGAACAGCTGGGGCACACCCCCTCCAAGATCTCTATGCTATCATTGTTGTTGTTCTCAGAGGCCCATGCCAAGGCCCTGATTTCATTTCTGAAGACGGCTTATGTGCCACAAGAGACGTCCGCCGATCAATTCACTGATTGTGTGGCCAACTTGACCGCTGACAATGGGTTTGGTTTCTCTGATGCTGATCTGACCGCGAAGGGAAAGAACCACAATGATGCCCTGCATGTCTCCATTGAATGCAGGGGCACTACTCTTGCACACGTGTTGGTAGACACCGGTTCGTCACTGAATGTGTTGCCCAAGAAGGCCTTAGACAGGTTGGATTGTGAGGGTCTGGAGTTGAAGCCTAGTAACATCGTGGTCCGAGCCTTTGACGGGTCGAAGAGGATGGTACATGGTGAAGTGGACATTCCGATCCGGGTTGGTTCCCAAGTCTTTGATTCAACATTCTATGT